CGGAGAGCCATGGCCTGTTTCGTGCCCTCGGCAGTGGCCATAGAAACCCCTGAGGGGACGGGGACGGGGCAGGCAGGGAGGGGAAGGCTCTGGAAAATAGCAAAGGCCAGTTCTGGAGATACTGGCTGACAGGGAAGATAAGGGTTTGGAGGGAACGTGTCCCTTGGCTGGACGTAAACAGGAAAAGCGGCTGAGTGGGACGGGGGGAGCACAAAGGGGGAAAGACACCCCGAGCAGCGCTTTTCTGCCAAAGGAAGTGTGCAGTGCTTTAATGCAGCCCGGATTGCCAGGGCTTAAAGGATTGTTGGGGGGCCTGGGGTCATGGGGGACCAGGGATGGAGGAAATGGCCCCAGCCAGGCCGCCCCAGGGCAGTGGGGAAGCCCAGAGCCTGCCCCAGGGATGGCAGCAGCCTGGGACAGGGGTAGGGGGATCTTGGGCCACCTGTTTCAGAGGGGATGTCAGCAGGTCCTTGTGCCTGTGCAGGAGCCACCTGTGAGGATGTGCTGGCCCCCTGCGCTGGAAGCCCCTGCAAGAATGGTGGCGAGTGCCGGGAGTCAGAAGACTACAAGAGCTTCTCCTGCAGTTGCCCCTCCGGCTGGCAAGGTAGGGGCATGGCCCATCTCGGGGTTTGGCACACCCTGCTCTCCTCGGCTGCTCAGGGAGTAAAAGGTGGAGGGGGTGGAGTGTGGCCAGGGGGCAGCGGGCAGGTGGCTGCCTGCGTGCCCTGCTGGATGGGAGCAGCCCTGCACGGTGCCCGGCTGAGGGGAGGGTCCTGACCTTCCCCAGGGTGGATGGGGTGAGTCCATCGCCTGCACCCCTTGGTGAGGGCAGTTTGCTGCGAGGGCTCCCACCATGGTGTGAGCAGTGCCCAAGATGTCGTCGTCGTCATCATCATCCCCAGGGCTTTTGCCAGCACCTTCAGCCCACGTGGTCCCTGTCCCGCTCTGTCCCATAGGTCAGACCTGTGAGATCGACATCAACGAGTGCGTGAAGAGCCCCTGCCGCAATGGGGCCACATGCCAGAACACCAACGGGAGCTACCGCTGCGCCTGCAGAACCGGCTTCACTGGCCGCAACTGTGACACCGACATCGACGACTGCAAGCCCAGTAAGAGCATGGGCCACTACTGGGGACCTCACTCAGCCTGGCCCCCAAGCCAGCAGCTCCAGTTGCCCCTTCCTGGGGCCGGGTTCCTCCTCCCCGTGCGTGGGCAAGCCCCGACTGTGGCTCTGGCTTGGACCACCTCAAGCACGTCCCAGTGTAGCTGTGTCAGTCCGAGGCCGGGTGGGAGCTGGGGTAGGGAGTGATGTGCGGGCGGTGAGCAAGTGTGTCCCATGTGCCCTGTCCCCTGATGGGGCTGGCCTGGCTTCTTGCTTGTCCATGGGCTCTGTCCCATCCCTCCACGCAGCCAGGGGACATGTGCAGGGCCAGTGCTGTGAGGCAGGTCCTGGGCAGGGCTGCTGCACCATGGCTGGGACCCACTGCGTCTTCACACGCACATCCTTCCTCTCCAGATCCGTGCCACAATGGCGGCTCCTGCTCCGATGGCGTTGGCACGTTCTTCTGCGAGTGCCTGGCTGGTTTCCGTGGGCCCAAGTGTGAGGAGGACATCAACGAGTGTGCCAGCAACCCCTGCAAGAACGGCGCCAACTGCACCGACTGCGTCAACAGCTACACCTGCACCTGCCCCTCCGGCTTCAGCGGCATCCACTGCGAGAACAACACGCCTGACTGCACGGAGAGGTACAACCTGGCACGGTGCCTGCCGCGGGCACGGCCTTTGTCGGGGCCAGAGCACAGGGCTGATGTCCCTGCGCTGCCCTGTAGCCCTGGGCCGGTTTGTGGGGGCTTTGGCATGGAGCATGAGCAGAGGTGACTCACTGGGATGTGATGTGTGTGTTCCCAGCTCCTGCTTCAACGATGGCACCTGCGTGGATGGCATCAACACCTTCACCTGCGTCTGTCCACCCGGCTTCACGGGCAGCTACTGCGAGCATGACATTAACGAGTGCGACTCCAAGCCGTGCCTGAACGGGGGCACGTGTCAGGACAGCTATGGGATGTACAAGTGCACTTGTCCCCAGGGATACACCGGGCTCAACTGCCAGGTAGAGGAGCCATGAGCGGTTGGCTGCTGACCCCAGTGTTTGCCCATGCGTGCCGCCTGTGGGGATGTGGGGGGTCACTGCGGTCTCCACAGAAGCCGTGCTGAGTCCTGACCCCCCTCTCTTGCTCTGCTCTCCCCAGAACCTGGTGCGTTGGTGCGACTCCTCTCCCTGCAAAAACGGAGGCAAATGCTGGCAGACCAACAACCTGTACCGCTGCGAGTGCAACAGCGGGTGGACGGGGCTCTACTGCGATGTCCCCAGCGTGTCCTGCGAGGTGGCTGCTAAGCAGCAAGGTAAGTCTCTGCCATGTGTACGGCTTTGTGGGGCCACAGTGGGGTCCCCTGCTGGCCCCCGTGCTGGGCTCTGAGCAGGGACACGCTCAGTTCTCTTGGTGGGGATCTTTGGCACAACCGGAGCGATCTCAAGGACTGCTGTAACGTGCACCCCCCGAGGCTGCAGTTCTGGCTGCGATCCCCAGTGGGATGCGCGGTGGCCAGGACATGGCCCTGTGGTGCGTGGGTGTCACCGAGGTCCCCCCAGCTCACTCTGCTCTCTCCGGCAGGTATCGATGTAGCACATCTCTGCAGGAATTCGGGGCTCTGCGTGGACACCGGCAACACTCACTTCTGCCGAAAAAAAATGGCAGCGACTGCGAGGAGCAGGTGGACGAGTGCTCCCCCAACCCGTGTCAGAACGGAGCCACCTGCACAGACTACCTGGGAGGCTACTCCTGCGAGGTGGGTGCTGTGGGGGCAGAGATGCACAGGGAGAAAGCACTAGTTACTGCGTTCCTGCTGCCCAAGGAGCTGCCCCAGCTCCAGGCTGGCTCGGTGCCCCTGTACTGGGCTGAAGGCTGGGGTGCTGGCTGTGCTCCTGCAGCCACGTGGGAGCTGAGTGGACCCCTCTGATAGTTCCCCTCTTCCTCCTTATAGTGTGTGGCTGGTTATCATGGAGTTAACTGCTCAGAGGAGATCAATGAGTGTTTGTCCCACCCGTGCCAGAATGGAGGAACCTGCATCGATCTCATCAATACCTACAAATGCTCCTGCCCCAGAGGAACTCAAGGTAAATTAATTCCTCAGGCTGGGGCATTAGTGGGCTGAGTGCAGATATCCTCAGTATCTGCTCATTAGCTGCTCGGGCTAGCAGAAGCAAATGCAACAGGAGGGGTTTGCGTTTGCTCGCGAGCTTAGCCATCAAGGCCACGCAACCTTGGACGCGAGCTGCGCGGTGCTGCGTGCCTCCTGCCAGCGCGGCGGCTCAGACTGCCATTGAGTTGGTCAGGCTCAGCCCCTTGGCAGGGAAGGCTCACACAAGGGACCGCCGGGCACCCCGATACTGTTTGATGAGCTGTGTGGGTTGTTCCCCCGTTTCTCTAGGGGTGCACTGTGAGATCAATGTGGATGACTGCAGCCCTTTCTTTGATCCTGTTACCCTGGGGCCCAAGTGCTTTAACAATGGCAAGTGCACGGATCGGGTAGGTGGCTACAGCTGCATCTGCCCCCCTGGCTTTGTAGGGGAGCGCTGCGAGGGAGACGTCAACGAGTGCCTGTCCAACCCCTGCGACGCCCGCGGCACCCAGAACTGCGTGCAGCGGGTCAACGACTACAGATGCGAGTGCCGACCTGGCTATGCAGGTGAGTGCCACGTCCCCGCTGCTCCCAGTGCCCAGCCCTGCAGCCCCCAGCCACCCCAAGCATCTCGCACACCTTCCTCTGCTCCTCACACGCTCCTCTCCCTCACCAGGCCGTCGCTGCGACACTGTGGTGGACGGCTGTAAAGGCAAACCCTGCAGGAACGGTGGAACGTGCGCGGTTGCCAGCAACACCGGCCGTGGCTTCATCTGCAAATGCCCCCCGGTAGGTACCTGCTCCGCTCCAGCTCTGGGAGTGGGATGTTGCACAGGCCCTGCAGGTCACCCCCTTGCACAGAGGGGCAGTCAAGGGGGCCAGTATAGCCCCTGAGGCTTCCTCAGTTGGGATAGCCAGGGGTAGGTGTGGAGGGGAAGATGCTTTGCTCCGAGGAGGTATATCCATGTATGCATACCCTCCTCACTTGCAAGGAGACTGGGTCAGGGTCAGGAAGAAGGAGGTGGCTGAGCCCCGCAGGTATGACGCACAGCTCTGTAGGAGGGATTCCTGCCTGGTTGACCATTATTTGCACCACCTAAAGGTGGAGCAGGCAGCTATGGAGAAGCCCTCCCTTCGTTTTGAGGGGGATGCTCTGACGGGGCTTACATTCTGGATTATTCTTGCCCATCACTGGTTTCTGAGGACACGCCAGAGCCGTGCCCTGATTCACTGGGTTTGTGCCCACTTTCCCAGAGCACACACATGTTTTGGGCTGCTTGTAGGACAGCGTCAGTGATTGTGACTCCCTCCTTGCTGTCACCTCCCCAGGGATTCGTGGGTGCCACCTGCGAGAACGACTCCCGCACCTGTGGGAACCTGCACTGCCTGAACGGTGGCACCTGCATCTCCATCCACAAGAGCTCCAAGTGCATGTGCGCACCGGCCTTCACGGGTCCCGAGTGCCAGTACCCGGCCAGCAGCCCCTGCACATCCAGCCCCTGCTACAACGGGGGCACCTGCGAGTTCTTCAGCGACGCCTCCCCCTACTACCGGTGCAACTGCCCAGCCAACTTCAACGGCCTCAACTGCCACATCCTCGACTTCGATTTCCAAGGTGGGATCGGGCAGGATATCATCCCACCCAAAATTGAGGAGAAGTGTGAGATTGCAGTTTGCGCGGGCTATGCCGGCAACAAGATCTGCGATGGGAAATGCAACAACCATGCCTGCGGCTGGGACGGCGGCGACTGCTCCCTCAATTTCAACGACCCCTGGAAGAACTGCTCCCAGTCTCTGCAGTGCTGGAAGTACTTCAACGATGGCAAGTGTGACTCTCAGTGCAATAATGCAGGCTGCCTGTACGATGGATTTGACTGCCAGAAATACGAAGGGCAGTGCAAGTAAGTGACTTGCTCATTGACCCTCTTGTTCTAAAGCCACGACCTCTGTGTTGGTCCTCTGGGGGTATTTTCTGGTTGCTCTGCTAAAGCTCCTAAGTGCAGACCTGTTGCTCGCTCTCTACATTCTGTCCTGCTGCCTATAGGGCTGCAGCTCAAGCAGCCACACTTCCCTGTGGTCTTACTGAGTTTACATACACTTGGAAGCTCTCTGGGTTTGGCTCGTTCCGGATGGCTTCCCTGTCTTTGCCTGTGTCACGCCACAGAAGTGAATTCTCCAACTCAGAGTAGTAACACAGTGAATTTCAGCGTAGGGAGACCCCAGATGGAAGAGCAGCCAGAAAACATGATGATGTTAACATCCAGGCATTTACTAAACATTGTCTTTGGCAACGGCAGGAACTTAATCCCAAATTTCTGGACAAACTCTGGTCTGAGTAACTATTCCGTATCCCCATGTCTTCTCTGAGCCACAGTAATTTGTCCCTTTTTTTGACATCTAAATTGCAACTTACAATTTAGCAGCTGCTGTCCTTCGCTGGCAGAGGTGAGTGCTTCACAGCATTGCATGAAACAGGCTTAGTGTCTATCAGGATGAGGAATATTTATACAAAAGAGAGGTCCTCATGGACCACCACTTATTTTCTCAGCAGATAGGTAGTACATGCAGTACTTGGTCTAATTCATTCTTCTGCCTTTCTTTTTCTTCTGCCCAGCCCTCTGTATGACCAGTACTGCAAAGATCACTTCTCAGATGGTCACTGTGACCAGGGCTGCAATAATTTTGAGTGCGAATGGGATGGTCTGGACTGTGCAAACAACATGCCAGAGAAGCTTGCAGATGGCACGCTGGTGGTGGTGGTCCGAATCACTCCCGAGAACCTGAAGAACAACTCCATCAACTTCCTGCGGGAGCTGAGCCGTGTGCTGCACACCAATGTGGTCTTCAAGAAGAACCCCAAGGGAGAATATATGATCTTTCCATACTATGGCAATGAGGAGGAGCTGAAAAAGCATTACATCAAGAGGTCAACAGAGGACTGGTCAGATATGTCTAGTGCTGTCATCAACAAAGTAAAGAGCAGCCTCTACTCCAGGGCTGGCAGAAGGCAGAAGAGAGAGCTCGATCAGATGGACATCAGAGGGTAAGGGGGACCAACGGGTTCCTTTGTCACTGTGCAGCTTTTGTTCTCTGTGTTGATAATAGTAACACACTATAAAGGGAAGGATGTTGGCCAGATAATTGTATTTAGACGTTGCTTTCTGTGTGAACAGAAACCGGATTTTGCTCTCATGTGGGAAAAGCGAGTGATCGCTCAGGAATCCCCGATACAATGCTGCGCCGACTCTCAGGATTGAAGGAGTCCTGTGTATTGTTGGGAGCTGGGGCTGGGCTGGGTGGGACGTGGAAGCAGAGGTTGGCCTGACCGACTGGCTGACTTCAGGAAGTCATTAAGTTAAGCCTCAGTTTCTCCCTGGGAAATGCTTTCTAGAGCTTTGTTGTAAAACTCAATTACTGCAGATCGTGTTTGGAGATCTTTGGTATAAACATATAGATCTGACCTTCTCCCTCTCTGTGGGCTCAATCAAAAGCCACCGAAAGCAGAGGAGTTAGAGGAGCGAAACTGATGTGGAAAGATCTGAAGGCTCCCAAACAGCATTAGTTAAGATACTGTAGTGTCTGGGTAATTTTAAAACACTGTGAAGCAGAGACTCCCTTCCGTTCCTGTAGATAAGGAGTTGGATTTCATAGTATTAACTGAGGCAAATCTAATAGACCATGAGTGTGAGCTGCAGGGCTTGGGCCACAGGGAAGCAAGGAGATGGGTTCCCACCTTCTGATTCCCTCTGATGAGGAGTTGAGGAGGGAAGGGGGACAGGGCTCATCTGTCTTCTCAGCATGGTCATTGCACCGTGTTTCTCATGGACCCTTCTCTCACACAGATCCATCGTCTACTTGGAAATTGATAACCGCCAGTGCATCCAGTCGTCTTCCCAGTGCTTCCAGAGTGCAACCGATGTGGCGGCGTTCCTGGGTGCCTTGGCCTCCCTTGGCAACCTGAACATACCCTACAAAATAGAAGCTGTTAAAAGTAAGTATGGCTGGGCGGCTGGGGAGGAGAGTGAGCCAAAACTTTCCAGCCTTATCCATGTTGAGCTATCTGTCAGCTGGCTGCACTTGAGGACAGTCTGGTTTTAATAACCTTGCATCTTTTTTTTTTTCTTTAAGTCTGTTCTTAAAAAAATTTCAAACCCAGTTTTTTATTTTTGCTTATTCCAGGTTTATTTCAAAATCATTATCACTATAAAAGTTATTAAAAAAAAAAAAAGAAAAGGAAAGAAAAAGAAAACCCAAGCAGCTCAAATCAATCAGTGACATGCAAAGAGTTGAAGTTTGTATCTTGAAAATCCCCCCTAAATCCTTTTGTCTTAACAGCTCAATGCAAGCGCAATGATTTGAAGTTTGCTAATCCTTTTCCTTAAAGGAGAAAAAAGTGAAGCTGTCTCCTGGTGCAGGCTGGCTTGTGCAGCCGAGAATTTGCCGATAGTTTGCAATTCTGATTAATAGCGTATAAAATGACCTTATTTTGGGGGGGCTGATTTAGATCAGCCTTAGGTACCTCTATTAACTAATTTTCCTTCATTTCCACTCTGTCACTGGTTTGCTATGCAGCTTAATGTCTCAGTGTCTCTTTGTGCCCCACTGTTTTGTAGGTGAAACAGCTGAACCCACGAAGAACTCCCAGCTGTATCCTATGTACGTGGTGGTGGCTGCGCTGGTCTTGCTTGCTTTCATTGGAGTGGGAGTACTGGTGTCTCGTAAGCGGCGCAGGGAGCATGGGCAGCTTTGGTTCCCAGAAGGCTTCAAAGTGACAGAGTCGAGCAAGAAGAAGCGACGAGAACCACTTGGGGAGGATTCTGTCGGACTGAAGTGAGTAATTTGCTTACTAACTCGTTAAACACAGAGCAGCAGGGCTACTCGGGGCTCTTCTGAAAGAACCCATCTGAGTTTTGTTCTCCAGTGCATCGTATTGGCGTAGCAGGGAGGAGAAAAATCAGGTTTCTTAAAGTTCTGCATGGGGAAAAGAGTGTTCCCACCTGGAAGAGGTTTTTAAATGCTTCGTGGTCCGTTTGCACTTGGTAAAAAGTGAAAGGCAACCAGAGGGGAACCTCCTGGAAATTGCCTTATTGGTTCTTCTTTCAGATTGTGCATGTAGATAAACACAGTCCATCACAGAGTAGCTCCTGCAGAGGAGCTAATTTGTTGTATGGTTTTATTTTTAAAGACCCCTCAAAAATGCTTCAGACGGCACTCTGATGGATGACAACCAAAACGAGTGGGGCGATGAGGAGACCTTGGACACCAAGAAGTTCAGGGTAAGCTCGCTGCCACGTTCCCTTTCTGTGCCACAAGTAGTCACTCGCTGGGTTTTGTCCCAGAAGGGGCAGAGCGCTGCGGAAAGCAGCGGAGCAGAGGGGCCCTCGGGGACCCGGTG